CCAGCTACAGGAAAGCTGCAAGATCTTCATTGCTGGATTCAACCTTTTGTAGGTCTTTCTGACACAAAAGATGGAAATGGTGGTTCCTCAGGACAAGAGAGACACAGATCTGGAGCGGGTCCAACAGAGGCTACAAAGAATTAAGGGACTGAGTGTCTTTCTTACGAGGAAAGGCTGAGGAAACTGGGCCTGTTCAGCCTTGAGAAGAGACGACTGAGAGGAGACCTCACTAATGTGTATCAGTATCTCAAGGGAGGGTTTCAGAGGATGGTCCAGGCTCTGCTCAGTGGTGCCAAGCAATAGGACAGAAGGCAAAGGGCAGAAACTGATGCACAGGAAGTTCCACTTGAATATGAGGAAGAACTCCTGTCCTGTGAGGGTGACTGAGCACTGGAACAGGTTGTCCAGAGAGGGTGTGGAGCCTCCCTCACTGAAGATATTCCAGAACCATCTGAATGACCCTGCTTGAGCAGGGAAGTTGAACCAGATGACCCACTGTGGTCCCTTCCAACTTGACTGTGAGGAGGCAGAAGCAGACGAAGAAATGGTTCGGCACAAAATGCCCATTTCTGCCTCATCTTGCTTCCTCAGGAATACCAGAATTACTGAATCCGCCTTTTCTGGCACTGATTGACAGAAGACAGTCCCATCTCCTTTAAGATATGAATAAAACCCACAATTTAGACATTATTAATCTCACTCCCTTAAAGTTTCCCTTTCATTGCTAAGCCAGATGCATTCGTTAGATGATGAATACACTGAAGTTTCTGAGGTATGCCCACCACAAACCATTCTCCCTTCAACTACTCAATTTTTATTCCTCCCTATTGTTAAATGGTTTAATCATATAAAACCAGAATTCTACTTCTACCACAGAAATGGTGAAAAAAATAGAATTACTTTTAAAAAGTCTCCTTCTGCATCAACAGGCCCTATCTTCCTTTTTAGATCACATCGTTAAAGAAACTTGCATATTCAAATTGGTCTCTGAGAATCACTTTCAAAATAAAATCTTCCATTAAACTACCTGGCCTAAATAAGCCTGCAAAAAACTTCACACTTGCACATGAACCTCACAGTTTGAACCCTAGACCATTTATTCCACCTGTGGCAGAAGCCCATCAGTGGGCTGGAAGATAGACCCTGTGAGTGCCTTTCAGTTCCTGCCAGCTGTTACAACACTGAACTGACTATCCAGATATTTGTCATGATAGCAGTGAAATTATGATTTTGTAATGGAATAACCAGTTTTTTGTTCAGCTAAGAATCAAAAGTACTTAATAACCTCCCTGTTAAATAGCAAACAATTATTTAAGATGGTCTTCCGGGGTTCTTTTTCTTTGTTTTATTGCAAAAAAAAAAAAAAATGGTTTGGTGGTTCTTGACTCCAGTAATTTAGGAACGGTGTTAAATCAGTTCTGGCTGGAGAAAATTCACCAGAGGCACTACTGCTCAAGTGAAGTAAGTCAAAACAAGGGAATAGTGTAGCTAAGATGGGTGCACTGTGTAATATGTTTGTGGTGATTCCTGTAGAATTCTGTGGCTTCTGTACTACAACTATAAAGTTCAAGAGCTGGATATGAACCAGAACACAGACCATCCCAAGAAAACACAATTTATCTATCCAAAACTAAGACTGTTTAATACCTTCTGTCTGTGCTGTTTACCTTTTCCTAGAAAACACTACTCAAAGGAAAAACTTGCTAAGTCAACTCTGACAAAAATAGCTTATCAACATTACTTCTGGCATTATGTAATGGACTCATCATCGTATGCTCTGACAGATTATTTTAGAACTGGCTATACCAAAGCATCCAGAACTACATTCTTTGACTCACTAGATGTTTTTATCTTAAGCCACCTACTATGAACCAATACATTCACCTTTTTTTTACCATAACTGTCAGATCTCTGGTCCTGTAAGAACACAGAAGAAACGTTGCTCCAAGCTGTGAAAAACAAATTGCTCTGTTCTAATAACACAAAGGTTTAAGTAAGATGTACTCTGTCATTAAAACTGAACTCTTTCAGTGAAAACATCCACTGAGTAATGACAATAAGAAGTACGGCAACTGAAATGAAACGGTGGGAGTGTTTTTGTTAAAATGTTTAGTCAGTTTTCAGATCACAAGGCACCTAAGATCAGGTGTTACCCGAACCAGTGTAGTGATACAACCACAGGGAAAAATCTCCCAGCGTTGTTATGCTTCTGTGAGAAAACAAGCACATTTACTGGTAGAGATAATATCCAGCACACCTTTTTTTCACAGTATCTGCATTTCCACATTGCAATGGATCATACACAAATACTATTCATGAAGTGACAAAGTAATAATCAACATGATTATACCACCAAAAACTGACAGGATGGAGGGAAAAACTAATCAAAGGTAATCATACCTGAAAGTTAAGTTCATTACAAGTCATTAACACACACACGGGCATCACGATTAAACAACATTTTCCTTCTTTTTGTGTATGTTAGTCTCTCTCATCAGGCAAGTCTTTGGGAACAAAATTTTCACAGAAGTCCCAGCTACTGGCAGGAGGAGCACAACTGTTCTGTGGGAGATGATCACTGTCCATGATGATCTATACACTCACAGTAATTAGCAGTATTGCAACCATGGCCTAAATTATAATAACTTCTTTTTCTTTTTAAGTCTCAACTTTATTAATACCTTGTTCTTAAAATACGAGCATTTTTTAATCATGGTCTTAATGCACTCCCAACTGGAACGAAACCTTTACACATTTCAAAACATTTCTCTGAATGCACATCTAACAAATATTAAAGCGTACACAAATAAACAGCCTGAGCATGGCGCATTAGTTTCTGCCACAACTTTAATTTTTAAAGGAAACTCTGCAATGCCCTGCTTAAAAACAAAAGGAAACCCATTTTTGACCCCCAGGCCCTGCGAGGTCTAATGTGAAATGTGATAAACAGCTGGCCTTGCTGTGAAAGGGTTAAGAACGAAGAAAATTTAAACCGCTTGCACTTCTCCAGCTGTAAAACCAAAATATTGCCAGGGTCTTCCTGCAGCCAGGGCACCGGATAATTTGGGCTAAAACAAATGTTTATTAAAAAAAAAAAAAAAAAAAAAAGGGCGTTGATTTCTTGGCAGCGGCGAAAAGAAGGAGACAACCCCTAGTGTCGACGTAAAATACTACAGGACTCCATACTGTATCTCCGGGTTAAATTTTACGGCAGTAAAAAGGGAAATTTAAACCGTCATGATCGAAAAAACAGAGCGACTGTCCCACACGCACACCTGGACACACGGCATACCTCACCTCAAACCATCCCATTTGGAAGCGCCAGCTCCCAGCACCATCCCCGTTAAAGAGCACATCACCCAGCCCGTGGGCTACGTGCATTCACAGCTTTGCGGGCCCCGCACACCAACAGCACAGCGCTGCTGCTGCACCGGGGGCGGGGGGGGGAGAACCCCGCGGAGCTGCCAAACAACCCCCGCACGGCACCGGGGTTTCGTTTTCCAAACAGCTCCCGGTGCATCTGGAGAGCGGACGAGGCGCAGCCCCCGGTGGCGGGGGGGGAGAACGCGAACCCCCCGGGGTGCCGGGGAAGGGAAGGGCCGAGCCCCAGCGCTGCCGGGGCGGCGGACGCAGAAGGCGGGGAAGGCTGCGGGGCTCCGTGGGCGGCGGGGGGAAGCGGGGGCAAGCGGGGGCCGCGCCCGCCCCCGGGGAGCGCCGGGAGGGAGGGAGGGGAGCCCGGCGAGGAGGACGTGGCCGGCCCGGGGGCGGGAGGAGCCGGGTCAGGGGCAGGGCAGCGCCGGGGCCGCGGGGGTGGGGGGCCCGCCCGGCCCGGTCTGGAATATTCCGGCGGGGCGAGAGCGGGGGAGGTGGGAAGAGCGAGCGAGGGAGGGAGGGGGGAAGCGAGAGGAGGGTCCCTCACCATGGCGGCGGGTGGGCGTCAGGCGTCTTCCCCCGCTGATGAATCCGCCGAGCCCCGGCCCTCGCTGTGCGTCGTCCGGCGTCGCCGGCGCCGTTGCCGCTCCCCGGTCCCGCTCCTCCGATCCCGCTGGCGGCCCCGCTCCCCGCTCCCAAATCCCGGCACTGCGGCAGAGGCTCCGCTGACCCGCGCACGGAGCGAGCGAGGGAGGGACGGAGGGAGGGAGGGAGGCAGGGAGAGAGGGAGGGGGCGCGAGCGGCGCTGGCGCGGGGCGGCGGGGGCGGGGCCTCCCACATCCGGGCACTCCGCCGCGTCGGGGCGGGGCCGGGCCGTGACGTCACCGCGAGGGAAAGGGGGGAGGTTTGGAGGGGGGCAAAATGGCGGAGGGGGGGAAACGGCGGAGTCGTCAAATCATCAGTGTTGGAGGAGACCTTTAAGGTCGTCGAGTCCAACCGTGAACCCAGTACCACTGCCGACTGCTGTAACCCATAAATCACTGTAGTCCCTAAATCACTCAACCCCTAAAACGCATCACCCAGTGCCAGATCCAGATGTCTCTTAAACGCCCCGCAGGGATGGTGACTTCACCACCTCCCTGGGGCAATCTGTGCCAATGCCTGGCCACCCCGAACACTGAAAAACTGTTTTTCTAATAACTAATCTGAATCTATCTAATCTGAATTTCTAATGTCTAATCTGTCTGGCTTCTCTCAGCCTGGGGCCGTGTCCTCTGGTCCTCTCACTGCAGGCATGGTAGAAGAGACCGGCCCCCACCTCACTACAACCTCTTTTCAGTCTGTTGTATGAAGTCCCTCCTGAGCCTCCTCTTCTCCAGGCTAAACAAACCCGTCTCCCTCAGCTGCTCTTCATAAGAGTGCAAGGAAAAGGCATTTTGAGGGACTGCTCTGCTGCCGGCAGATCCTCTTTACAAGGCCTTGTGTGTTGAGTGTTGCTACAGAAAAAAAAACACTGAGTTTTTTTGGTTTGTTTTGGTTTGTTTTTTCGGTGTTTTGGTTTTTGTTTTTTAGGTTGGTTTTTTTTTTGCTACTAACCCAGAACTGATTCTGGGTGATAATATAAACTTTGTTTTTTTCTGTATGATTTCACAAACGATCGATCGTGTGACAATTTCCAGTCCTGGGTCAGGTCAGCTGCAACTGTGTGGCCACAGCAAAGGCATGAAAAGTCTTGAAAAGCCCCAAGGACGGGGATTCCTAAGTATGAACAAAGGAGCAGAGAATAAACCTCTGAATAGTAAGGCTGAAACACCTTAATAAACCTGAGGTTTATTGCTCTACTACAGCTACTGCTGTTAACAACAGTGACATTTGCTCCTTTGGGCCTCTTCCTGGGGAAAGGCTCCTGAAAGCTGCCAGAGCTGTCCTTGTTCTCCCACACACCCTCTGCTTAGGCTGGTCCCCCTCAGCCATAAGCTGTATATATATTTATGTCACATATATATATGTACTTTTATAAGCTGTGCTGCCGGAGCCCTTGCTTCTTAAGCTTTCTTCCTCGTGTGACTTCTGCTTTCTGCAAAAGGGAAAAAAAAAAATCTTGGCAGGGAGAAAGCTCAGCACAAGCACAAGGAGCCTTTGGAAATGTAGCTTTGAGAGGTGCCTGCTCTCCCTGTGTCCTGGCTGTTATTTTCCTTAGGTTTTTAATGTTATATTGCAAGACGCTATCCAGGCTTGAAGCTGTTAAGTAAAGAATCGCAGAATCACAGAATATTTAGGGTTGGAAGGGACCTCTGGAGATCATCTAGTCCAACCCCCATACTTAACAGATTTTTAGAGTACTGTGTTTCAGTACTGTTAATAGTTAATTATACAAAACTAAAGGATTTGTGCAGGGATGAGATAATTCTTAGAAGTGTATGCATGTATCTTTGTGGTTTCATGACAGTAGGTAGTGCTTTGTACCTTGGACAGTCTACAAAATAAAACAACTGATACAGCTGAATGCAAACTCAGATTAAAGATGTAGTCTTAGTAACCCCTTTGAGGTAAGATTTAGGGCAATGCAACTGCTTGCATAAGTAAGGCTGACCCTCGGGGAGTGATCTCTATATATTATGAAGTTTTAAGTAGGCCAAATGACGCCTTTAAAAACCTCTGTGAAGGATAAAATAAAATAGTGAATAAAGATGGATTGATTTCACATTCCCTTTGCTGTTTTTCCCTTTCTGTGCTCTCTCTGCTGAATGTGTTTATTTTGGAGCACCATGACACAGCGCATAACACTGTGACAAATGAAGTGGTGATGTGAAAATAATAATTACATATAAAATATTGTTGTGTTAAAACTGCCAAAAAGAAGATTTGGTACCATGTTGATGTTGTTTTTCAGGCATTTGCTATTTGGCTTGCAACAGCTAGACACTTTGCCAGGAAAATTGAAATTAATTCTGCCAGCTTCAAGGTGAATGACGAGATAATTTGTGGGGGAAGGGAAGACTGGATTATTGCTTTAAAACCAGGCTAATTTTTTAGGACCGTAGCTGAGACCATGAGCTTGCCAGTCTAAAATGGTAATTTCCTCTCCCTTCAGCTCCTTCTGGAAAAGGAACTGCCTTGTCACTGTTGCCCTATTTGTGGGAGTCTGAGCTGATCTAAGATTAGCAAAGGTTACCTTAAGAGTTCATGGAGGAACCTGAAATCTTGAAATCAAATGCTGATGCACAACTGCTAAGATGAATAGGGAATATCCCATCTGGATGGCTGCTCAGGAACCTGGATAAATGAAGGGTGACCGTGGAGTTCAAGAACAGATCAGAAGTTGTTCTCATCTGAAAGATTGAAGCAAAGCACAGCAATAAATGAGCAGTTCTTAGAAATTGTTAATGACTGACGAATGTTCTGTTCCCAAACTGATACACAGCAAGGAGGGGGGAGGCTTGAGCAGGAAGAACCAAGCGTGGATCAGGGAGACTGCACAGAAAACTCTGGCAAAAATAAGTACACGAAGAAGGTGGTGATTAGTGAAAGTGAATGGTTTCGTACAGGGAAAAAACAAAACAAACACTGAAAAATAAGTGTAAGCTTTAAGTTAATAACAAATCAGCAAAATAGGCCTTGCCAGTAAGGACCTGGACCTGGCCACAGTGACAGGTTATACATCAGAAAATAGTCTGATCCAGGGAAGGAATTTTCTGCCTGTTTTATTAACAAATACAGATGGCTAGGATGTCTCTTCTTTTTGGGGAAAAAAAATCTAGTTGATAAGATATCTAGGAATAAAATATTCCTAGATTTCGCTGAAAGCTTGTACTAAAACTGGCTGTTCTCTAGCCAGAAAACAATAACTTAAGATCTCCAAAAGAAAAAGGAATTCTGATGTAAAATGGTCTTGCTGCTTACATCTCTGTCATTACAGCTGTGTCTCACAGCTGTAAACCTGGAGTAAAATCAGCTAAGTTGTGTGCAGCTACAATTTCTATTGCATAACGTAATAAGAATAAAATAAACAGAAATGAAGAATATAATACCTTAATTTTGTGTTCCAAGTAGAGAAAGCCGAGAACACGTGAAAACACATTTTTTATCTTTTAATGCTGTTATGTCACTGCTAGTAGTTTTGAACCTCTAGATGCAGTACAAGGATGAGCTAATTTGGTTTTAATTCCCTTTTCTGTTGAGTGAATGTGCCCAAGTCACTTTTCTTTTATATCTGACTTCTAAAGAAGTTAAAAATGAAAGATGAAATTTGTTAGTAGGTAAGAGTCTGCAGAAAACCATGACTTCCATTTAATACTTTGCATTATGTATTTCTAATATTTTTGCAAATATGGATATGTGAATGGTTTTTTCAGACAACACTGTGTTTTGTCACTTTCTGGTATTAGTAAAGCTCACCTTCAGCATAGTTACAACCATTGCAACTAGGATCGTAACATCATGGAATTGTTTGAGTTGGAAGGGACCTTAAAGGCCACCTAGACCAATCCCCTTGCCATGAGCATAGACACCTTTAACCACATCAGATTGCTCAGGGCTCTGTCCAGTCTGACCTTGAACGTTTCCAGGGATGGGGTATCCACCACCTCTCTGGGCAAGCCGTTCCAACATTTTACCACTCTCACTCTATAGAACTTCTGTATCTCCTCGTAATTGGAAGCTGATTTAGCTACAGATAAATAAATATGTAAACCCTGTACCTGTTTGGGATCTTCGGTGTTATTAACCATAATGATGTGCTTCACCTAAGGTATGGGACACAACCTGCTTATGTGTCTGGGTTCCAGCTACAGTTCTTTTCATAGCATTTGTCTTTGAAAGTGCTATTTGTGAAGCCTTAACTGTCTCTAAGTTTTTTTTAATATAACGTGTCTTTGATCCCCCTAGTGTATCCTGCTTTGTCTTGCCTTGTGCTGGTCTTCATATAAACATCCCTTACTCACAAACCATGCTGGATGCAGTTTGTATGAAGCATTCACCTCTCTGTTAACTCAGGGTGAGGGCTGCTGCCTAATTAAATAATCTTCTGTCCTGACCCTTAACAGACTGTAAGCAGCTTTTCCCAGCAAGGCAGGTAAACTCCTGGGACAGTGCAACAAAGCTCGAAAATACACAATTTCTAAGCACATGTGTGTGTTCATATGTGTTCCAGTAGTGCTTTCTAAAAATAAACAAACTCTTATTCTTCTGTAATTCTGTAAAAGGAAGAAAGGAAAGCAACCTCTTATGAACTGGCTTTGAGGGAAAGTGTTTTCAGTTAGAGTGGGCAAGGGAAGCTGTACTTTATCAGCAAAAGAGGAAGCCTTTTAAGATAGAAATGAAAATTGTCCTTTCTCAGGATATTTGAATTGCCCTATTAGTGCAGGTCCTGAACTCTTAATGTCTGTAAAACCTATTGATTCCATATTGATTCATCTTGTTTCATTTGTAATAACAGGTAGAATAATAAGCAAATCTAAAGATACAATACTGACTAGAACTGACAAATGATTGGAAACATAATGTGCATCTCGTTGTATCTCCCTTACTCCTATATCTGTCTTTTCATTTGAAAGAAATCAAAGGGACTCTGTCCTTATTTTTTGCATATCTGTGAGAGCATATATAAATTGCCAAGACCTGGGAGGAGAGGGAGATGATACTTTTCATATCCAGTAAGGCACAGCTGAAAAAACTGGTCTAATGAAAGACCAGAGTAAAGCTGTGGGCCACAGAAGCCTTGTGAAGCTGTAGGTTAATAGGGTGAGTTTTAGTTACCCTGGCTCGTTTTGCATCACTGTGAGATGCTGGATTTCAAATTGCTAGAGCAGGTGAAGATGTACAGTTGCCTCTAGGTTAGGTGCATTTACTGAGAGAATGGTTGTAAATGCTGATCTGTGGATCTTGCTGCCCAAGGTGATGTGAATTAAATGACCTGATTGTAGGGTTGTTTCTTCTCAGCTCTCAGTGGTAGCTAATAGCCCCCAAGGACTTGAAGCCACAAATTGAAAATCATTGCAAGGAACTTTTTAGTTTTTTCTTAACTGTGTTATGAAGAGCGGCCTTCTGATTTGCTCGACTTACTGCCAGCCCTGGCTAAGACAAACTGGGGATAAAAATCTTTTCTGTGTCTTTGACCCTGTGCCTATAATCATCACTTTATCAGATAGCTCTCTGCAGAACAAATGCATGGAATCAATTTGCAAGAAAGATTGAGACTAAAAGGTTGCCTTTTTTTTTTTTTTGAGACTGCTGTTTGCATAATAATTTCATGTAGTCATCTCATTTGCCTAGCAGTTCATAAGATTTCCTGGTGGCATCCAGCTGTAGGTTGGTATAATTGGCTGCTTTTTTTTGGAAGACATCTCTTCTGGGGAGCTGTTATGGGCTGACTGCTCAAAGACCTTGCAACAACTGGAGGCAAGTGTTGTACAAGTATAGTGTTTGATTTTTTCGCTGATATGTTTCTCTACCGGCCTTGCAAAGGCTTATTTATTTTGCTTAACTCTGCTAGAGATCAACACGTATTGGTCTGATTTGTGAAGTTCTTATCTTCCTGCAGTAACTGATTAAGGCTGTAGAGATTGGCCTGCACAGGCTGTTAATGAGCTATTAATGTATGTAACTCCAATCTTGTGGAAACAATCTCTGGAATTACTATTTTATCACTGGTCATGTGTTGGCTGACTGGTTCAGTCTTGGGCCAGTACAAATTCTGAAGGTGATGACTCAGGCAGCAAACTAGAGTGATAATTTAATGGTGAAACAACAGTCTGAATGGAAACACTGCCAAAAGGCCTTAATTTATTCATTCTTTTCCTTGTGGCAGAGTGAAAAGTGAGTAATTGCTTGATTGCTGATCCCCTAACAGTTTGAGTTGGGGACAGATTTTGAATACCTGACTCTTTCAAAACTAATCAAAATAGATGTTGTTGTCATGTGGAGTACCTTTTAGCATATCAGTATGTATTATAAGGAGCTAATTAGTGTGAGGTTCTGTGTCTATTAACCCCTTTTGTTGCCATGGAAGAGAAAAATAATTGCATTAACAAATGCTGTCTGTGGTATGTTAAATTGCGTCCATCTTAGCTGTGCATTTTTCCATACACTTTGACTGCTGTGATCTTGGTGCTCATGTAATCTGTTTTGATTTGCAGTGCAGGGATCAGTATGAAAAATGAAGTAGCTTGCTAGAGCTTTCTTTCAAGGAAAACATGATGCAGCATGATCATATGTATTCCTGTAGATATTTAAGGACCCCTGGGCTGAGGCAATGATACAGCACTGAGGTAGTCACTGTGCATCTGGGATTCTCTACTCTGTGCCTCAGCTCCATGCAGACTCTTGGGAGGACTGTGAGGTTTGTCATTTGAATTTGAGAAATAGGAGGGAGTATAACCCTGTATGCCAACTAAGTCTGTTCACCACAGGATAGGATTTTTTTTTCCTAGGGGAATTCAGAAGAGCATCTAAGAACTTCTAAGGAACTAATTGGGTGCTAATACAAAATACTACCTGTGTTTTTATAGCTGTGGCAGGTTTTACTACTTTAGACATGGCAAAACTATTTTTGGTGATATTCTTTTCTCAAGGTGTAAAGTACCTCATCTGTCAACTGCACCTGTCTGTCAGTGATTGGACCAACATTGGATTCTGCCTTTTTCCTACCATGGCAGTCCTCAGGTATTCTGGATGTGTGGCACAGGACTAGAAAATTACCTCAGCTCTTTAGTGGTGGGTGAAGTTTCAGTAGAAGAGTGAAGTTATGCTCACACTGCTGGATCGGGATTCCATGATTTGTCCACATAAAGCGGGTTCAGGTCCTGAATCACAAGTGTTTGAGCTTCCTAGGTTTTATTCTTTCATCCCAATGCCAGAAGGGATAGATTCTGTCACTGAATGTTTTGCACTTGTGGTTATGGTTAGCCAAGGAATCATAAATAGGTTTAGCCTCCTGATCCTTCTCTTCCTTAGAGAAAGAGCAGGTAACATACTGCAAATTTTTTTGCATGTGTGGAGTCGCTAGACCTGCTGGGAGCTCTTGCTTGGCACAGAGGTTAGGGAATCCCTAACAGGAATTATAACCTGGCTGGATTTGCTGTTAATATGTGTTAATCTGAAGATTTTGAGTGATTTAAGCCTTTGGGCCTTCACATTGCAGAAGACTGTCTAATTAAAAGGGGCACTTTCCAGGGATGTGGTGCAGCTTGTTACTGTGGTACACTGTAAGTCATGATGCTTCTGCCTCCTACCTATTTGGCAAAGTACCATCTACTTTGTGATGTGGAATGGATTTATAACTTCAGTAAATTTAACAACAGCTTCTGATCCATCATGCTGTTCCTGAACTCTCCCACAACAAATTTCCCACAAGAAAGAAATGGAGATTTTCCTCTTCCAG